GGGTCCCAAGAACTTGAATCATCTGCTGCTGCTTTCCCAGGAGTATTAGCAGGGAGCTGGATCAGAAGTGGAGCAACCGGGACTCGAACCGGCACCCTAATGGCATGCCAGTGTTGTGGACAGAGGCTTAGCCATGCCCCCAATCACTGCATTATAAACTACGCTGCAACATGGCTACCTTCTGAGTGGATGTTTGCTTCTTTGGGAGATAGAGAGAGTTCTATTCGCTGATTCTCTCCCCAGAGTGCTGCAAGGGGCATGGCTAGCCCAGGCAGAAGCCAGGAGTTGGGAATTCCAGCCAGGTTTCCCATGTAGGTGGTGGCAGCCCAACTCCTTGAACTGCCCCCGCTGCTCCCAGGATGTGCACGGTGGGAGGTTGGAATTGAGAGCCGGGCCTGGCACCTGGATGTGGGCTGCAGGTGTTCTAAACACCTGTTCCTCTGGTGGTTCTTTTCGGGGACGCAAATGCCATCACGTGTCCTGTTAGGCCTGCGTGTGCAAGGGACACCAGAGGGAGCCCACTGGAAGCTAAGAGGATGCTGGGGGAGACTGGAGAACAGCTGGACTCCAAGCTCTCTGTTCCCACACAAGTCGTGCCTTACGGGCTTGGAGAGTTGGAGCAGGACCCCTGCACTCAGCGTTGAAACCCCAGCTGGAAGCCCACCCCCCCAAGGCAGGCTGCAAGAGGGAACCCGGCATGAAGCACAACCCTGGAGGGGCAAGATGCTCCCGGGGGGGCCAGCCTTGTGGCTCAGGCAGCTGGGCTGCTGCCAGTGACACTGCATCCCCCGAGGCCCGGCTGCTCCACTTTCCTGCCAGCTCCCTGCTTGTGGCCTGGGGAAGCAGTGGAGGATGGCTTCAAGCTTTGGGACCCTGCATCCGTATGGGAGACCCAGGAGAAGCTCCTGGCTCCTGGCTCAGCTTCGGCCGTTGCAGCCATTTGAAGAGTGAACCAGCAGATGAAAGATCCTCTCTGTCTTTTCTTCTCTATGCAACTCTGACTTGCAAATAAATAAATAAATGTTTAAAGCAAAAGAAACAAAAATCCCCTTTAATTTTTAAAGATTTTGTTTCTTTTTACTGGAAAGGCAGATTTATGGAGAGAGAGAGAGAGAGAGAGAGAGAGAGGTATTCCATCCACTGGTTCCCTCTCCAAATGGCCACAACAGTGGAGCTGAGCCGATCTGAAGCCAGGAACCAGGAGCTTCTTCCGGGTCTCCCACATTAGTGCAGGGTCCCAAGAGCTTTAGGCCATCTTCTATTGCTTTCCCAGGCCATAAACAGGGAGCTGGATGGGAAGTAGAGAAACTGGGACACAAACCAGTGCCAATATGGGATGCCAGTACCTATAGGTAGAGGATTAACCAATTGTGCCATTGTGTCAGACTTGAAAGCAGCCCTAGGAAGACCAAAAGCTGTTCTTAGGGCTGGCATTGTGGCATTCACGTAGGTGCCTGTTTGAGTCCTGGCTGCTCTGCTTCCCCCAAGTGCCCTGCTGATGCACCTGGGAAAGCAGAGGGCGACCCAGGGCATGAACCAGTGGATGGAAGATCTCTCTGTCTCTCCCTCTCTCTGTGTATGTAACACTTTCAAATAAATAAACAAATATTTTATTTTTAAAAAGAAAAGATTTCCCAACCTAATAAAAGGCATCTACAAAGAATGTTTGCTCCTAGCACTTGAAAAAAAAATAGTTTTACTTTTTGGGCTGGCACCGTGGCATAGTAGATTAAGCCTCTACTGTCCTAGGTGCATTTGCAGGGAGCTGGATCAGAAATGGTACAACCAGGATTCAAACTGTCATCACTCCAGGAGGGAATGCCCTTTACAAGCAACAGCTTAAGGAAACCCACAGGGCCACAAGGCTGGCCATGAGCAAAGCTGGTAGATCTTAAATCGCAGGCATGACTAGGCGAGAATAGAGCAACCGACACTCCCAACCCAGTAGCCACACACTCAGGGGTCCCCGGATTCTCTATGGGACTGATTCGGGGCACCCGTGGGGTTCCCCCCTGTGACCCTCGAGTCCCTGATACATGCTAACCTAGGGATGCACACGTGTCCTCCCCAACTCCACCCAGTCACTGCTGGACAACCTGGGGCTCCAGCCAAGGGCAACGTGGCAAAAACGGTTATTAGACGGAGTTGTTCAGGAAGTGACAGCAAGATGAGAAGTCTGCACAGTCAGGGTGAACACAGCTGCACCGTGCTCCCCACCTGAAGGAGACTGAGTCCAGGAGTGCAGAACCCACAAAGATCCAGAGGGCTCAGGGCTGGCACCATGGTGTAGCGGGTAAAGCCACTGCCTGTCGTGCCGGCATCCCATATGGGCACCAGTTCTAGTCTTGGCTGCTCCAATTCCTATCTGCTTCTTGCTTGTGGTCTGGGAAAGCAGCAGAGGATGGCTCAAGTGCTTGGGTTCCTGCACCCACATGGGAGACCCAGAGGAAATTCCTGGCTCCTGGCCTTGGACTGGCCAAGTTCCAGCTGTTGTGGCCATTGGGAAGTGAACCAACAGCTGGAAGACCTGTCTCTGCCTCTCCTCTCTCTTTGATTCTGCCTTTCCAATAAAAAGTCAAAAAACAATTTAAGAAGCTTGATTCAAATTTTTAATAGATTGACTTTATGAGGTGGCTCTGCCATGCAGAAGGCTAATCTTCCACCTATGGCACTGACATCCCATACAGGTAATGGTTCGAGTCCCGGCTGCTCCACTTTTGAGCCAGCTCCTTTGCTTATAACCTGGAAAAACAGCAGAAGATGGTCCAAGTTCTCGGGCCCCTACACCCACGGGGCAGAGCTGGAAAGAAGCCCCTGGCTCCTGGGCTTCAGCCTGGCTGCTGTGTGTGTTTGGGAAAATGAGCCAATAAATGAAGGATCCTTCTCTCTCTCGCTCACTCACGCTGCCTTTCAAATAAATGTTTCCAAAAACACACACACTATTAAGTGTGAAGAATGCATTGAAACACAGAAAATGTGGTGTCCAGGACCAAAGCGACTGTAGGTTTCAACACTGAACAAACTGGTTTTTACAAGTCTGGGCAGAGAGAATGAGGATTCCTGTGGGGGCAGGGACAGAAGAGCAGGCTTTGCAGGGCAGGGACAAGGGGACAGGATTCCTGGAGGACAGGGTGCTGGGCTGCAGCGGGCCCAGGCGAGTTGGGCTCTGCTCTTCCAGGAACAGCCGGCCGCAGCTGGGGAGCCGCCTCCCTCCTTGTAGCGTTCCCCAGGACAGGCAGGCAGCACACTTGGCGTGAGTGACTCCATGTTGGTCCCGTTGGGCCAGCTGGGGCCCCAGTGCAGGTGCCTGGTCCCCAGCCAGGGCCTCTCAGGAATCCACCTGACTCTCGCCAGCAACTCAAATGACACAGACAGATGTCTCAGACACTGGCGATTCAGCAGGCAAAATCTCCATTCAGACAGAGACTCGAGGAAAGACATGGGAAAAAAATCCAAAACCTGGTTGCAATCAGGCCCCTGCATTTTTTTTTCTAGATTGATTGATTTATTTGAAAAGCAGAACGAGAAAGATAGATAAGAGAGAGAGAGAGAGAGAGAGAGAGAGAGAGAGAGAGAGAGAGAGACTCTGCAAATGTCTGTCACAGGCAGAGCTTGTTCTGTCTAAAGCCAGGAGCTTCTTCTGGGTCTCCCGCGTGGGTGCAAGGGGTCCAAGGATTTGGGCCATCCTCTGCTGCTTTCCCAGGTGCCTTAGTAGGGAACTGGATTGAAGGCGGAGCTTCCGGGCCTAGAGCAATGGCTCAGTGGCTAAATCCTCACCTTGCATGCCCAGGATCCCTTATAGGCACTGGTTTGTGTCCCAGCTGCTCCACTTCCCATTCAGCTCCCTGCCTGTGGCCTGGGAAAGCAGTTGGGGACGACCCAAAGCCTTGGGACCCTGCACCTGCATGGGAGACCTAGAAGAAGCTCCTGGCTCCTGGCTTCAGGTCAGCTCAACTCTGGCCACTGTGGTTGCGTGGGGAGTGATCCAGAAGATGGAACATCTTTCTGTCTCTCTCTCTGTAAACCTGCCTTTCAGGTAACAATAAATAAATCTTTAAAAAAAAAAAAAAAAAAGAAAAGAAAAGAAAAAAAGTGGAGCAACCAGGATTAGAACCGGTGGCCATATGGGAGGCCTGTGCCTACTCCAGGAATATTTTACATTGCTTTACTTTATCCTTGTTGTGTTAGTAGTTTAAGATTTATGACCTGTGCTGACAGCCAGCCCTGTGGCTTGGTGGGTTAGGCTGTCACGTGCAATGACTTCTTCCTCTATGGGAGAGGTGATGGGCCCAGCTCCCCGCAGTCGCTCCTCGGAAGGCAGCTGAGCACGGCCCAAGTACCCGGGCCCCTGTCACAAACTTGGGAGACCAGGATGGAGTGCCCTGCTTTGGCATTAGCCTGGACCAGCCGCATCCCTAGCGGCTGTTTGGGGAGTGAACCAGCAGACGGAAAACCTTCTTCGACTCCCTTGTTGTCCCTCCGTGTAATTCTGCCTTTCAAACGAATGAACGCTGGAGTTCAAGTTCAGGATCAGCCTCCTCTGTTGTTCCTCGGGGATCCCCTTCACACAGTCCCCTGGTTGGGGAGTGGGGGACCCCACACACTGTTACTCCCGAGCCCAGCACACCCTAGAATCCCAAACCTCTGGATCCTCCTCCTCCCAGGCCCCTGAAGAGGTTCCCATAAACTTCTCCTGTACTCAGTAAAAAGGTCCCACTCGCCTGCAAGGGGCGTCCGCGCCACAGCGGGACCTGACCCTGACTCTCCCATTTCTTCCAGCCCACAAATCCTCCGGAGGAGTCCTGGGGCGACTCTGGGTGCGCCCCACGTCGCCCAGCAGGCAGCCCAGGAGGGCGCATTCCACCCCAGAGCCCCGCAGGGCTGGCGGCTGCAGGGTGCGGAGGAGGGCGGGGCCAGCGGCGGCCAGTCGCTGTCCCGGGCCGGGGACGGAAGTTGCACCACAGGTACCATTAGTTTCAGTTTTGTTTCTCGCGCAGGCTCCCGGCGGCCGCCAGCGGGGTCTGGGCCTCGGGGTCCACCGCGCTCCTGGAGTCCCAGTGCCGTGGGTAGGCACGTGAGGGAAGGGGATGCGAGGGAGGGGAGGGAAGAGAAGAAAGGAGATGGACAGAGAGAAAGAGGAAGGGAGGGAAGAGAGAAACGAGAGACCCGGAAGAAAGCGAGAGAAGGAGGGCCTGGAAGCAGCGCTCAGCTCCCTACTCCCCCAAACCTGCCATCAGGGGCACCCCTAAGAACACCACCCCTCCCAAGCCCTCTGAGCCACCCTCCCAGCCCGGGAGAGGAGGAGGTGCCACCAGACGGTTGGCCTTGCTGGCTGCCCCACCCTCTCTGTTCCCTGGAATGTGCTCACCAACAAGGGCTGGGGTGGGGTCTGTTCCCCAGCTTTCCCTCTGCTTTGCAGCTTTTCAGGAAAAGTCAGGACAGGAAGTGGGGTCCCCTAATCTCAGAAGCCCGGGTCCAGGCAGGCCCCACCTGTGTTTCTCCTGCCTGCATCTTGCACCCTGGTGCTCTGGCACCCTAGCCACCCCCCCCCGCCGAACAAACCATCAGGGCCCCAGGGTCTTGTTTCCACGGTGAAGGCTCCCTGTTGAGTTGCTGGTGTTCCAAGGTGGAGTTGGGAGAGGGTCTTATCTCAGCCTTGCCCTTCTTCCCAGGCCCCACTCACCGGGCAGCATTTATTGCACCTGCCTGCCTCCTTAGGGCAAGAACAAGTGGCCCAGAATCCCAGCAGACCAAGAGGAGCTTCCTGGCCAGGCAGGTAAGGCCCCAGGCCTTGGGGACTCGCCCACAGTGCACGCAGCAGGGTGGGTAAAAGCCCTCCTCTGGCCCTGACCTTGGCCCCTCTCTGCCTGCAGCATGGTCTCCCAGGGCTCCGCGCCCTCCCTGCTGGAGGCCCTGAACAGCGACTTCCTGGCCTGCAAAATCTGCCTGGAGCAGCTACAGGTGCCCAAGACGCTGCCCTGCCTGCACACCTACTGCCAGCAGTGCCTGGCACAGCTGGCTGACAGTGGCCACATCCGTTGCCCTGAGTGCCGCGAGTCGGTGCCTGTGCCGCCTGCTGGCGTGGCTGCCTTCAAGACCAATTTCTTTGTCAATGGGCTCCTGGACCTGGTGAAGGCCAGGGGAGACCTGCATGCGGGGAAGCCTGCCTGTGCCCTCTGTCCCCTGGTGGGGGGCACCAGCACTGGGGGCCCAGCCACGGCCCGGTGCCTTGACTGTGCTGACGACCTGTGCCAGGCCTGTGCCGACGGCCACCGCTGCACCCGCCAGACCCACTCGCACCGTGTGGTGGACCTGGTGGGCTACAGGGCGGGCTGGTATGATGAGGAGGCCCGGGAGCGCCAGGCTGCACAGTGCCCCCAGCACCCTGGCGAGGCCCTGCGCTTCCTGTGCCAGCCCTGCTCGCAGCTGCTGTGCCGAGAGTGCCGGCTAGACCCCCACCTGGACCACCCCTGCCTGCCTCTGGCCGAGGCGGTGCGCGCCCGCAGGCCGGGTCTGGAGGAGCTGCTAGCAGGCGTGGACAGAAACCTGGCGGAGCTGGAGGTTGCCCGTACTGCAGAGAAGGACGCACTGGCCCGGCTGCGGGAGCAGGCGGCCAGAGTGGGGCTGCAGGTGGAGGAGGCGGCCGAGGGAGTCCTCCGGGCCCTTCTGTCCCAGAAGCAGGAGGTGCTCGGGCAGCTGCGGGCCCATGTGGAGGCGGCAGAAGAGGCGTCCTGGGAGAGGCTGGCAGAGCTCGAGGGCCGGGAGCAGGTGGCCAAGGCAGCTGCCGCCTTTGCCCGCCGGGTGCTCAGCCTGGGCCGCGAGGCCGAGATCCTGTCTTTGGAAGGGGCTATTGCCCAGCGGCTCCGGCACCTACAGGATCGTCCCTGCACCCCCGGGCCAGTCCTGTGCCTGCTGCCCCGGCTGGACCTCCACCCTGGGCTCCTGGACAAGAACTGCCACCTGCTTCAACTCTCCTTCGAGGAACTGAGGCCCAAGGAGGAAGACAACAGAGAGAGAGCAGGTGCTGCCAGCGCCACTGCCACCCAGGGAGGAGGTGAAGCCCCCAAGAGTCGGAGCCAGGGTGAACCTGAGGCTCAGTGCCCAAAGAAAGACACCCCTCATGAAACCGCAGAAGACGGGGCTGCCCAGGCTCCCAAAGAAGGCACGGCCCAGGTGTCGCAGCCCCAGAAAACCCAGGTGACTCCCAAGGAGGACAGAACCCCGTCTCCCCAAGAAGACAGGGGAGCCCCTGCAGAGAGGGACGCCAAGGCCAACAAGAAGAGGAAGTTCAAGGGCAGGCTCAAGTCCATTTCCCGTGAGCCCAGCCCCGCCCCGGGCCCCAACCTGGAAGGCTCTGGCCTCCTGCCCAGGCCCATCTTCTTCTGCAGCTTCCCCACGCGCATGCCTGGGGACAGGCGGTCACCTCGGATCACTGGCCTCTGCCCCTTCGGCCAGCGGGAGATCCTGGTGGCCGATGAGCAGAACAGAGCTCTCAAGCGCTTCTCCCTCAACGGTGACTACAAGGGGGCCGTGCCCGTGCCCGAAGGATGCTCCCCGTGCAGTGTGGCTGCCCTTCAGCAGGGGGCTGTGGCCTTCTCAGCCGGTGCACGGCTCTATCTCATCAACTCCGAGGGTGAGGTGCAGTGGCGCCGGGCGCTGAGCCATTCCCAGGCCAGCCACGCTGTGGCTGCGTTGCCCAGCGGGGACCGGGTGGCGGTCAGCGTGGCGGGCTATGTGGAAGTGTACAACATGGAGGGCAGCCTGGCCACTCGGTTCATCCCTGGTGGCAGGGCCTGCCGCGGCCAGCGAGCACTCGTGTTCCTGACCGCCAGCCCCCAGGGCAATTTTGTGGGATCCGATTGGCAGCAAAACAGCGTGGTGGTGTGCGACGGGCTGGGCCAGGTGCTCGGGGAATACCGGGGGCCAGGCTTGCACGGCTGCCAGCCGGGGTCCCTGACCGTGGACAAGAAGGGGTACATCTTCCTGACCCTGCGGGAGATCAACAAGGTGGTGATTCTGGACCCCAAGGGTTCCCTTCTTGGGGATTTCCTGACAGCCTACCATGGCCTGGAAAAGCCCCGCGTGACCACCATGGTGGACGGCAGGTACCTGGTCGTGTCCCTTAGTAATGGGACCATCCATGTCTTTAGGATCCGTGCCACCGACAGTTGAAGGGGTTGGGGGTCAGGGCAGGAGGGGGTGGGGAAGGGGTGGGGGCGGGGCTTGGTCCTGCAGTGAAGGGGCTGGCAGTGTCTAAGGCCTGCCTTCCTCTGGGGTATGGGGACAGGGACCATCCTGGCGGTGGCGAGGAGGGCGATTTTCAGCGTGAGTGCCACCTGCTGCCTGGTTTAGGCTTCTGGAATGGATCCGCGTGTTCTGATTTCTGTTGTCCCATTCCCTGTTACTGATGAGTAGCTGAGGCAGGGTATTGGGGAGCTAGGCAGAGGGGAGCCCCAGGAGTGCCGGACAAGCTGGGAGCCAGCCACTCTCAGGAAGAGGGCTGGAGATTTGGGCACAGCAACTGATGGCCTCATTTGCCCCCCTGTGATGCCCAAGGGTGATTTGAGGTGCGCACAGAGGCTGACATCTATGACCTCCAAAGAAGTGGGCTTCCAGGAAGCCTAACCTGGCAGAGCTGGAGTTCTGAGTATCATAGAAGGGGGAGCCCTCCAAGCCAGTCTGGGGGTATCTGAGCTCCACGAGGGAACATTTATATATATATATATATATCCTGGAAGTTTATACTTCCTCTCTCCATTTTTCAGCAACATTCCTTCTGAGAAAGGTTGACCTTGGCTTAGTCAAGCTATGTGGGGAGGTGAAGGGACCGCCCCCCCAGGACCCCAGGTTGGGGGTGGGCGGAGCTGGGCTGAGACCACTACCACCGGCCCTTCCCGTAGTGGTGGCAGCAATGGGTCAGAGGGAAGCACAAATGGAATCTCAACATTGGGTCCGTGAACAAGGTGGAGTGTTCGCGGGAAGCAGATTTTGGTCAAGTGCAGGTGAGGGTAGGGCATGGGGTGGGGAGAAGGCCTTCTCATGGTGGGAGACCTTTCCCTTGTTTATGGAACTGGCAAGGGACGCTGTCAGCATCCAGGTGGATGAAATTGATGAGGACAAGCAAGGATAGGTGCGTACAACAAAGCAGAAGGAACATTTTTTTTTTTTAATGATGAGAGAAATGACGTTGAACATATTGGTTGGCATTGGAGGTGGAGACAGTTGAGTCCCACTGAGTCAGGGTCCCAGGCAGGCCTCTTGCTGGCCCCTGAGGATGCCCCCTGTAGTGATGTGTGAGCCAGGGGAGTTAGCCAATCCTTGACGAGCATCAGAAAAATGTAGGAATGTGTTATCTCACTTTGGGGAATATATTCTGGGAAAAATCACTCTCTTCCCCCTCCCAAAACACACACACACACACACACACAACAAAAAAATGCTTGCCTGGAGACATCTGTGGCCATGTGGGGGTATTGCAAGTCTTTAACTGGAACTGCCTGTGGGAGGGTGGCAGATAATAGACTGTGGTCTGTCGGAAGCATGGGCTGCTGGCTCTGCACCACGGGACAGCTCTGAGGACTAGTCAGAAGAAATAGTTTTGTGACGTAATCATAAGTCAAGAAAGAAAAAGAATCTGGGACTGCGATCACAGTATGATAATAGGGTGAAAGTATGTGTGGCTCGCGGCACGGGGAAGTAGTTTCCGGGTTGGTAAACAGCCGACCTGGGGAGGCTGGGTCTTTGGTGAGTTTCTTGTGTGTTTTTGCTTCAAACAGGCACATTTGTACTTAAGTGAATATGCTCCAGGGCATGGCGCACACATTCGAATATTGACTTTCAGGAAAATACACCTGTATAGGAATTGCTATTGGATCTGACAACTAATGTGTCCATTAGCACGGATGACACCATCCTTTGAGAGATGAGACGGAATGGGGGTAGAGGATTAGCCGAGGCAGGGAGTCCTAGCTGAGCAGGTGCCTCCTTAGAGCTGGGGGTGCTGCAGTGGTAGAATTTTAACAGAATCCCAAAAGGCATGGGGACACATGAGGATTTTGGAACAACTGGTCACCCAGGGAAAGTTCTGCCAAACTTTGTTGGCTTGGAGAGCTAGGAGTATTAGTAGGCACAGAGCCTCCTCTGAGCCTGGGACCTGGCATTGATATCTAGGGAGGGAGGAGACGGTGGTCTGATTCTTTCCACCTCAGTTGCTGTGGGCCCAGCTAACCAAGCAGTCCAAAGTATAAGCTTGTGGCAATGTGGCCGGGGTCTACCAGTTGCCCCCCCCCCCTGCAAAGGCTCCTAAAAGCAATGAAATTGGGATATATGGAGGGGTTGAGTGGGAAGGTGATGGCTGGGAGAAACAGGGTCTCTAGGGGCCATGCACCATTGGATTGGGGCAGCAGCTCCTCAGAACTACATAGGAACCAGGGATAGAGGGCCTGGCTGGGGAGCTGGCTCCAGTCACCTGGAGCCCAGGCAGGAATCAAAGTGGGGGTTGGAGACCTTCAGAGGGCAGGTGTCTCTGGGGCCAGCAAGAGGTTTTTGAGGGTGAAGGAAACTGGTGGCTTCCCAGGAGGTATTGGGAACTGGAAGGAAATCCTAAGTATTCTTTATTACCAGGGTGGGAAGGTCCAGCACCCTGGTGATGTGGACAAAGTAGGTAGGAAGGGTGGTATCAAATCAACCTATTAACCATGACCTCAGACTGCTACCCAGCACGGACAGAAAATGTTCCGAATTAAGCCACAGTGTTAAGGAACCTGGCCTGTTGTAGACCCTGTAGCTAGCCCCTACCTGATTGGACAGGGACTGATAGAGAATGCTGCCGGGGTGGGGTGGATGGGAACAGACAATGTCCTTCTGTCATTGTGCTGGAGAAAACGGGACAAGAAGGAGGTGACCAAGAGCTGGGCTGCATGCTGGCTCTGTCACTTGCTGGCTGTGCCGTCTCATTCTTAGACTGTAACCACGCCGGGCCTTACTGCTTGTGACCCAGTAAGATGGGAGTGATAATACCCTGCGGGACAGCCTTGCAGGGTTGAATCCAGTGGGTTGGAAAGCGAGGGGTTGGATAGAAAGGATTTCCGCTGGATTGTGTGCTCTGCGAGGTAGATGCAGCTTCCCGACAGGGTCCTTGTTTTCAGGACATTGTCCGGCTTCGTTTTGCAGCAGCTGCCTGCAGGAACCCCAAGCCAGGTCATTGTATGTGACCGTGGCGGCAGCAGGGACCAAGGGCCTACTTGCCAGGATTCAACGCCAACCTTGGAGGCCAGCTGGGAGCCAGGCGCCTAACTAAGGACCAAGAGCCCTAGGCATCTTAGAAAAATAAAAAAAAAGAAATAAAATCGGCAAGCTTGGGCCGATTTTTGCATAGTCTAGAGAAATACGTCTTGGGAGGGAATAGCTCTCTTCTCACTCTTGTCTTAATATTACCGCTGTATCTGTGTTGTCCCAACCCAAATCTACAGAGAGAAAATTCCAGAGGCAGAAGTCAGACCAAGTGGTGAGGTCTTGATCCAATCCAAGTAAGATTGGATGTACATCTCCCCAGCAAGCCAGCTGGGAGCGAGAGCCATCCTATACCTCATGTGAGATAGAAGTTGTTTGCAGAAGAAAAACCAAGTTCACATGCAGGCTTGAGACACTAGGTCACACGGCTGCGGGGGAGCAAGTACAGCCTACTCAGCTGGCTCATCTGAATGAAGTGGGTTGGGACAGGAGCCAAAACAAAAAGGTTGCTGGGGACCAGCGATCCAAGGGCTATCAGAAGGGCAGGGAAGACCTCACGTTGAAGGCTGATCTTGGGGACCAGGGAGCTGGCAGCTGGCGGGCAGCCTGGGCAGAGTGATGCTAGGAGGGAGGTACGGGGACAGCCAGCTCCTCTCCGAGAGCCTGAGCAGGCAGCCAACAGAGTGGAATCAGGCCCCCGGCGCCCTCGTGCCTGCATGGCGGTGGCCTCAGCCCAGCCCCCTACTGCCGGTTGCCATGGGGAAGGCCGGTGAGCTGTGACTGTGGTTCTGGTGTTTTGCATCTGTCCTCTGGATCTTTGAATAAAGCTCTTTGGAAAACCCCCTGCCTTTTCTCCAAGAGGTTTGTGGGGGAGGTGTGCCCTCAACACTGAGGCTTGCTGGGCTGTGGGAACCGAAGCTCTGTGGCCACTGAGATGGCCCCGCAGGTTTCTCAGGGACAGGAGCGAAAGCACCTGGCCTCATGTCTGTGATCTGAGCAGGAGCCACTTCCTCCTGCAGGACAGTGGGGCGGGGGCGATCATGATGCCACCAGCAGGTGTGTCAGTCTGTGTGCAGCATGGAAGGTTGTGAGCAGCAGTGGGCTTGGGGGCCGGCCAGGGGCTGTGCCCACCACTTTGGTCTCTGTCAGCCTCTGTGTGCAGGCAGCTCCTGCTTGAATGGTTGTGGGATCATCCGAGCCCAGCCCACTCCCCTGGCCTGGGCTCTTTCAAGTAGCATCCTCCCTGTCCTGTTTGAGTGCTTCTGAACTGGAGGACGCAGAAGGCCTTGGCTGGTGGCCTCCAGGTCGGACAAAATCACTCCCAGGCCCTGCCACAACACCCCTCCCCTGGCCCTGATTTTACAAATGGTAAAACTGAGGCCAGGGAAAGCTTGGTTGGGGGTTTAAATCCAACTACGGCTTGGCTCATGCCAATTCTTCCATTTCCAGCATCCAACAGCTGCCCAGTCCAGCCCACATACCCGCCTGCCTCTGACTTGGTCTGGTTTGTAAAAAGAGAGTGAACGGAACAGCCTGAAATTTGAGCCTCCTCACCGTGGAAGCACTTCAGGTCCCCGGCCTATCCCAGGAGGCCTGTAAGTGCCATGTAATGCGCCCCACTGCCATCTTGGCCTCCCTCTCCACGGAGCAGGGCAGGGTGGGTTGGTGGGGCGGGGAGAGCACAGCCAAGGACAGATGCTTTGAACAGCTTGGCCAGTATGCAGCGCCCTCGGCCACGGTGGTGACAGCCTGAGCAAGAATTCCACAATTCATCATGTGATGACTCAGCCGCCTTTGGACCCGGGTGCCTCTCAAACGCGCCCCGGGGAGTGTGACTCAGCATGCAAGAGGGGGCTGGGTGGCCGTGGAGCCGGCCGCAGTCCATGTGAGCGGCCACTGTGGGAGAACAGCCTGTTCCCAGCTCTGAGCCCCAGGCGGGGCGCCCGCCTCTGCGGCCAGACCCACGAGGGCCTCAT